TCTTTCCTTTTTTTTTTTTGAGACTGAGTTTTGCTCTTATTGCCCAGGCTGGTGTGCAGTGGCGCGATTTCGGCTCACAACAACCTCCACCTCCCAGGTCCAAGCGATTCTCCTCAGCCCCCCGAGTAGTGGGATTACAGGCGCCCGTCACCACACCGAGCTAAGTTTTGTATTTTTAGTAAAGACGGGGTTTCACCATGTTGGCCAGGCTGGTCTTGAACTCCTTACCTCAACTGATCCCCCCAGCCCTCAGCTTCCCAAAGTGCTGGGATTACAGACATGAGCCACCGTGCCCGGCAAGGGACTTTTTTTTTTTTTTTTTGAGACAAGGTTTTGCTGTGTTGCCCAGCCTGGAGTGCAGTGGCACAATCTCAGCTCAGTGGAACCTCTGCCTCCCAGGCTCAACCAATCCTACTGCCTCAGCCTCCCGAGTGGCTGGGACCACAGGTGCGTGCCAGTGCACCCGGCTAATTTCTGTGTTTCCAATAGAAATAGGGTTTTGCCGGCTGGGCGCTGTGGCTCACGCCTGTAATTCCAGCACTTTGGGAGGCTCAGGTGGGTGCATTACTTGAAGTCAGGAGTGCAGGACCAGCCTGGCCAACATGGTGAAACTCCATCTCTAATAAAAAATGCAAAAAGTAGCTGGGCATGGTAGCGGGTGTCTGTAATCCCCGCTACTGGGGAGGCTGAGACAGGAGAATCACTTGAACCTGGGAGGCGGAGGTTGCAGTGAGCTGAGATCATGCCATTGCACTCCAGCCTGGGCAACAGGAGCAAAACAACATCTCAAAAAAAAAAAAAAAAAAAGGAATAAATGGGGTTTTGCCATGTTGCCCAGGCTGGTCTCGAACTCCTGAGCTCAAGTGATCCGCCCACCTTGGTCCCCAAAAGTGCTGGGATTACAGGCATGAGCCGCTGTGCCCGGCCGTGCAGGACTAACTTTCTATCAGAGTCACCATCCTGAGAAAAGTTAGGTTTCCATCATTCACATCCACATCTCTTGCTGCCTTGCAGGGCCCCGTGCAGATGGGAGAGGCATAGTCAGGACCAGAATCCCCCGCCCACTCCTCCCTTAGCCAGCCGCCTTGGAGACCCAGGGTGTGCCTGCGATGTTCTGGGCACTGGGAGTGCAGCAAAGAGCTGGACAAGGCCCCTGGCCCCAGGGAGCTCATGGAGCGATGGAGCAGGGTGTGTGTATGAGCAAACGTGGGCTTGGCGGCACAACCCTCCCCAAGCCAGTGTGAGGAGCTGGGGCAGGGGAGAGGGACCAAACTCCAGCCTGGCACAGAGGCTACACATGGGCCATGCCAGGCTGGTGCCCGAGACCTCAAGAGTGGGCTGAGATGTGGAGGCTGCTGCACCTCAGCAGAGCCTGGCCAGGCCGGTCTGGAGGTGAGCCAGGCCCATGCCTCTCCACAATAGGTGCAGTGGCCTGCAGGGCCCTGGAGGTGGACTCAGGGGATGCCCGGCGGGCCCCCCGTGCCCGAGGGGAACGTCGGAGGCACACTATCACCAGCGGCGTGGACTGCGGCCTGGTGAGCAGGGGCTGGGGCTCTGTGGGGCTCTCCATCTTGTCTGGAGGCTGGAGGCTGGGATGGGAGCAGGAGGGCCTTGAGCCTGGGGGAGTCCATTGTGGAAGTACAGTCAGCTCTGCACATCTCTCTCCCCACGTGGGCTTGAATCCCCTGGAGGGACGGCCCAGGGTCAGGCAGAGGCAGGTCAAGAGGTCGTTCAGGGCAGCTATGGTGGCTGCCCAGCCTGCCTCACGAGGTCACTGCTGCAAGCCAGTCTGGCTCCCCTGCTGTGTGTTCACCACAGGTGGACCTCGGGAGGGTGGGCTCAGCTGAAGGGTCAGTCACCCCTCCCCCAGGGAAGCCTGAGTGGAGGGGCTAAGAAAGGCCAAGACCCCTCAGCAGGAGGCACGGGGTTCCTGCTCCAAACCGGCCTACGGGGCTCACACACGCAGGTGTCCTGAGAAGCATGCGTCCGTGCCTGTGTTTGCAAACGTGTACATGTGCCGCTGCATTTGTGCCTGTGACTCTGGTGCCCACCCACAGGCAAGCTCATGCATGCATGGACGTGTGCGTGCTCACTGGGGCCAGGCATTCCATGTACATGCACGTGTTGCAGCTGAAGCAGATGAAGGAGCTGGAGCAGGAGAAGGAAGTGCTGCTGCAGGGTTTGGAGATGATGGCGCGGGGCCGTGACTGGTACCAGCAGCAGCTGCAACGAGTGCAGGAGCGCCAGCGCCGCCTGGGCCAGAGCAGAGCCAGCGCCGTGAGTGCCACCGCCCTGTCCCCAGGTCCCCACACTTGGAGACCCCAGCTAACCCCAGGCATCCCTGGGCATTATGGCTGCCCCTATTCCCGGACACAGTTGCTGTTGATTGCACCCAGGGTGCTGGGACATCCCTTTTTCCCCCCGCGGCTGCCCCACTCCTAGGGCCTAAGGCGCCTTAGGCAGACCTCCCATCCCACGTCAGCAATGCCCCTGGGATCCCTCTGGGCTCTCTGCAGCATCAGGAGGCAGGAGAGCCACCTGTGGGAACCTCTGTCAAGGCACCATGCTGGCCCTGGCTGGCCCTCTTCTCTGACCACTCGTCCTCTGCTTTCTTCCCAGGACTGTGGGGCTGCAGGGAGCCCCCGCCCACTGGGGCGGCTACTGCCCAAGGTACAGGAGGTGGCCCGGTGCCTGGGGGAGCTGCTGGCTGCAGCCTGTGCCAGTCGGGTGAGTGTATCCCAAACCCCCACGCCCACACTGGGGCCCAGGCCAGTTTAGTGCTTCCCAGCCCTCATCCAGGCCTGCCTAATCCTGCCTTCCCGCAGGTCCTGCCCCCGTCCTCCTCCGGGCCCCCCTGCCCTGCCCTGACGTCCACTTCACCCCTGGGCTGGCAGCAGCAGACCATCCTCATGCTGAAGGAGCAGAACCGACTCCTCACTCAGGTAGGGCAGGCGCGGGAGGGGTGTGGGTGGGTGACTCCTCATCCGGGTAAGGCAGCCAGGAGGGGTGCGGGGGTGGGGATCCGCAGGCCTTGACCAACCGCACACCTGCCCAGGAGGTGACCGAGAAGAGTGAGCGCATCACGCAGCTGGAGCAAGAGAAGTCGGCGCTCATTAAGCAGCTGTTTGAGGCCCGCGCCCTGAGCCAACAGGACGGGGGGCCTCTGGATTCCACCTTCATCTAGTCCGTGTGGGCAGCGCGGACCCCCAGGGCCAGCCTGGCACTCAGCCTTTCGAGCGTGTGCGTCCCATCGCACCCACCCTCTCTGGCTGGAGACCCCCGGCAGGCCCAGGCACAGTCCCGGAGTGGGCGCCTTCCTGCCCCCCTTGCCAGATGGGCTCCCCAGGCCTGCCTCCGACTGGCCCCCGCACCAAGCCCTTGACTCCGTTTTGGCTCCTGGTGCTGACATGGGCTGGGACTCTCTTGAGTCCGCATAGTCCGCAGCTACTACTGCCGTTGTCAGTGGACAGTGGGGGACCCCTCCACGAATTACCGCCCCCCGTTTCCAGCGGTGCTGCCCTGGGTCCCATCTCCAGGGAAAGGCACTGCTCTCGCCAGGCTGCACTTCCGACAACGGCCAGCAGAGGGCGCGGGGCGGCTCCGACGCGGGTCCAAGGGCAGCTTCCCCCCTCAACCAGGGCACCAGGACAAGGTGGCTGTAGCTAGGACGGAAGCAGATGGAGGGGGTGGGGATGGCCTGTAAGTGGGGGGTGCCCGCCTGGCAGGGAAGCCCCAGGGATAGCAGTCGGACTTCAGGTCTTGGCCAAGGCTGAGGGACTCTGGCTGCAGCGGATCTGGGTGCCAGGTGGGCGAGAGTTTGGCCCGCATGTGCCTCCCGCAGACCCTGGGGTGATGGCCTTCCTCATCCTGGCCAGGACACTGCCCCACGTTGAGTCCCACACAACAACCTGTGAGCCTGGCTCCCCAGGAGGGCCCCCAGACAGCTCCCAGGCACGTCATAGGCAAAGCCTGTCCCCCCCCCACTCAGGATTCTCAAGGTCTGGGGTCCTGCTCACCCCCCTTTCCTCTTATGCCCAGCCTGACCCCAGGTTTCAGCTGGGAGAGGCCACTTCCCTCAGCCAAGGAAAACGAGAACCCCCAGGGGACAGGAGGAGGCTGGAGTAGGTCCCCTTGGGTGTCATTCCTGTCCCCTGCCCAGGCCCACTCCCGCTGGTGCCGGGGTACACACTGGTGGGGGGCCCCTGCTCAGCCCAGCCTGGAGGGCCCCAGTGCTACCAGAACCAGGGGCACGGCATCATGGATGGGTTCTGCAGCCCAGGGCCCCGAAGAGGAGGCAGTGTGTGTGGGGCGCAGGAACCCGATAGGGGGCAGTGTGCGGGGTACAGGGACCCCTCATGTCCAGGGCACTTTGATACAAGGTCCCACAAAGCACCTGTCTCAGAGGAGGGGTCCTGGCAGGCAGCGGGGCAACTCCCTTCCGGAACCCAGCTCCATGCTAACCTGCCCACAGCAACCCCACTGAGCCACATCCCCGGCTGCACCTGGCCTGTAGGGGTGTCCCAGGACAGGCCCAAGCCAGCCCAGCGTCAGCGTGCAGCTGCCCTCCTACCCTGAGGATGGGAGTGGGCTTTCCAGGGGACATAAGGATGCCAGGCCTGGATCTCCTGGGCAGGAAAGGGAGCGGATCCTGAGGGCCTGTGCCCCACAGCCCCAGCACCAGGTGGACTGCAGCACAGTGGGTGGGCCAGTGGCAGCCGGGGAGAAGCCCCCCCGGTCAGCAGGCTGGGGTCTGCCCACCAGGGCCTCCCCACGTCTGCCTTTGAGGGTGCCTGCCATGCCCTGGGGGATCCTGGCATCTTTAGAGGGCTGGAAGCAGGAGACAGAACAGTGTCTGTCCCGGGATGACTTCATCAGGAGACCGCCCACAGAGCTGGACCCCGCAGCTAAAGCGGAAATGTGAGACAGGCTGGCACCTCCAGAAAAACTGCCTCTCAGCCTTGGTATTCCGTGCAAGGTGAAAAAAAATAGGTCCATCCAAGTTTACAGCTTGAAATCAGGCTAGTGTGTTGCCCTGGAGACCACGAGGGGAGAATTTAAAGTGGCCCGACTGGCAGGGTCTAGGTGGCTGGCAGAGGAACATGCAGACCCTGCCGGGAGCCCACCCTAAGGACACAGGGCGGGTCAGTCTCCTTGCAGGATGTGAGCAGCGTCCCTGGGCTCTATCCACGAGGTGCCAGTAGCGTGTGCAGGTACATACATGTGCGTGCACACCGTTATGACACCCGGAAATGTCTCAGGACGTCGAAATGTGTCTTTGGGGGCAGAAGTGTCCCCATTCGAGAATGTGCCCCAGAGGAACACCACCACACCAGGCCTCAGGATTTTGTGTTGATCAAGTTCCAAGGAAAAGGAACATCTCAGCCGGGCGTGGTGGCTCACACCTGGAATGCCGGCACTTGAGGCCAGGAGTTCGAGACCAGCCTGGGCAACGCAGTGAGAGACCCCATCTCTACGAAAAAAGAAAAAGAAAAGAAAAGAAAAAAGAAAATGAGATCTCCGGTTTTAAAAATTCATAACCACCACAGGAAACAACACACTATGAGACCCAGCAGAAGCAACAGAGACTCTGTAGACCCAGATCCTGGAATTATCAGAGAGAATATAAAGTAACAGTGTTTATATATCTAAAGAAATAAAAGAGATTTCTGGAAATATGAACAAGGAGTGGTATTTATAGTTTCTTACTCCATAAAAAGCATGATCTCTTAATGCTATAAAGAAGACGAGGCTGGGCACAGTGGCTTGCGCCTGTGGTCCCAGCACTTTGGGAGGCCGAGGTGGGTGGATCACTTGAGGTCAGGAGTTTGAGACCAGCCTGGCCAACATGGTAAAACCCTATCTCTACTAAAAATACAAAAATTAGCCAGGCATGGTGTTGGGCGCCTGTAATCCCAGCTACTTGGGAGGCTGAGGCAGGAGAATTGCTTGAACCTGGGAGGCGGAGATTGCAGTGAGCTCAGATCGCGCCACTGCACTCCAGCCCGGGCTACAGAGTGAGACTCTGTCTCAAAAAAATAATATTAATAAAATAAACATTTATCGGTCAGGTGCAGTGGCTCCCGCCAGTAATACCAGCCTTTTGTGAGGCAGAGGTGGGACAACTGCTTCAGCCCAGGAGATTGAGGTCAGCCTGGGCAACACGGCAAAACCCTGACTCTACCAAAAATATAAAAATTAGCCAGGTGTGGTGGCTCATGCCTGTGTTCCCAGTTACTGGGGCTGCTGAGGTGGGAGGATCACTTGAGCCCAGGAGTTTCAGGTTATAATGAGCTATGATTGTGCCACTGTACTCCAGCCTGAGTGACAGAGCAAGACCCTGTCTCAAAATAAATAAAAGAAAAGAGAGAGAATCCGAGAAAGTCCAGACTTTTAGATATTAAAGCACACACGTCTAAACAACTATGTGTCGAATTTAAAAATTAACTGGTGTAGTGGCGCATGCCTGTAGTCCATTACTCAGGAGGTGGAGGTGGGAGGATGACTTGAGCCTGGGAGGTCAAGGTTGCTGTGAGGCCAAGATTACACCACTGCACTCCTGCCTGGGTGGCAGGGTGAGAACTTGTCTCAAAAAAACACACGCGAAAAAAATAAAAAATAAAGGTATAAATAGGGTTTCCTCTTTCATGAAAAAATAGTAAAATAGGAAACAAACATGATAGACACTTGCTTGAGAAAAAGTACACAAGCCGGGCGCGGTGGCTCACGCCTGTAATCCCAGCGCTTTGGGAGGCCGAGACGGGCGGGTCAGGAGATTAAGACCATCCTGGCTAACACGGTGAAACCCCGTCTCTACTAAAAAATACAAAAAACTAGCTGGGCGAGGTGGCGGGCGCCTGTAGTCCCAGCTACTCGGGAGGCTGAGGCAGGAGAATGGCATCAACCCGGGAGGCGGAGCTTGCAGTGAGCTGAGATCCGGCCGCTGTACTCCAGCCTGGGCGACAGAGCGAGACTCCGTCTCAAAATAAATAAATAAATAAAAATAAACAAATAAATACATCTCAAAAAACAAAAAAGAAAGAAAAGAAAAAAATACTAAATTGGCTCAGGAAGAAATAGAGAACCCATCTGGCCGTATAACTATCGAATAAATTGAAACAGTGCCATAGAGGCCAGCACGGTGGTGTACGCCTATAGTCCTAGCTATTCCCGAGGCTAAGGTGGGAGGATTTTTTAAGCTCAGAAGGTTGAGTCTAGCTTGGGCAGCATAGTAAGTCTGGTCTCTAACCCATCTCTTAAAAACAAACAAACAAGGTACCACCGAAAAATCGGGTCTAGGTGTGTTTTTTTCAGGCAAGTTCTACCATAAATTGCAGGAAGGGGATAATCCAAATATTATGCTAATTTTTCCAGCTAATTAAAAAAAATTAAAGCAATTTTTTTGTTTGCTTGTTTTTGGTAGAGACGAGGTCTCACTATGTTGCCTAGGCCGCTCTCCCAAAGTACTGGGATTACAGATCAGGCCATCGTGATATCAAAACCGGGCGCAGTGGCTCATGCCTGTAATCCCAGCACTTCGGGAGGCCGAGAAGGGTGGATCACCTGAGGCCAGGAGTTTAAGACCAGCCTGGCCAACATGGGGAAACCCCATCTCCACTAAAACTACAAAAATGAACTGGGTGTGGTGGCACACGCCTGTAGTCCCAGCTACTTGGGAGGCTGAGGCACAAGAATCCCTTGAGCCCGGGAGGTAGGGGTTGCAGTGAGCTGAGATTGAGCCATGGTGCTCTAGCCTGGGTGACACAGCAAGACCTTGTCTCAAAAAAAAAAAAAAAAAAAGGCCAGGCGCGGTGGCTCAAGCCTGTAATCCCAGCACTTTGGGAGGCCGAGACGGGTGGATCACGAGGTCAGGAGATCGAGACCATCCTGGCTAACACAGTGAAACCCCGTCTCTACTAAAAAAAAATACAAAAAACTAGCCGGGCGAGGTGGCAGGCGCCTGCAGTCCCAGCTACTCGGGAGGCTGAGGCAGGAGAATGGCAGGAACCCGGGAGGTGGAGCTTGCAGTGAGCTGAGATCCGGCCACTGCACTCCAGCCTGGGCGACAGAGCGAGACTCTGTCTCAAAAAAAAAATAAAAATAAAAATAAATAAAAATTAAAAAAAAAAAAGAAAGCCAAAGGGAGGGGGGACCAGCCATGGTGTGGACCTGTGGTCCCAGCTACTGGAGAGGCTGAGGCAGGAGGAGCACTTGAGGCCAAGAGTTTGAGGTTACAATGAGCTACGATTGCACCACTGCAGTCCAGCCTGGGCAACGCAGCCAGACCCTGTTGCTAAAACAGACAAATCAAAGACCTGTTACCTACTTACAGGGAAGAGGCAGGGGGTGGCAGGGGAGGGGGAGACTGTCACCAAAATACCACGGGTTCAATCCAGGCCCTGCTGTTCGCTGCACAGAAACCAATCACTGAGACCAGGAGCACCGCCTAGGAGAAGGCTTTAAGCCGGCTGCAGCCAAGGAGATGGGCGCTCAGTCTCAAATCCATCTCCCTGGCCGACTACAATGAGGGGTTTGCAGAGCAGGGAAGCCATGTAACTAGGTGTGAGAAAACAGGAATTAGGGGCAGCTAAAGGAGAGGAGTTGGTCAACAGGAAGCTGGTGGTTGGTCAGGCAATCTTGACAGTGGGGGGTCTGGCATCTCATTGCCAAGATACCGTGATCTGTTGGGTTTTAGCTCTTTCATTCTATCTGGGAGCCCTCACGGTTGGTTTTCTGAGAAAGGAACTCAAATAGGACAAACGTCACTTTCTCAAATTTTAAGATTAGGAGGATCAATCTCTGTGTTTATTCAAAGAAACCATAAACATCGGTTCCACGAGACAATTGAGCCAGTTTCAAAATCAAAGAGGGCCAAAGCCAGGCAGGTGGCACACACCTTTAGTCCCCAGCTACTCAGGAGGCTGAGGCAGGAGGACTGCTTGAAGCCAGGAATTTAAGACCAGCCTGGGCAACATAGTGAGGCCCCGGTCTCGAATAAAAGGATACAGGGGTCTGGGTTTGGTGGCTCACGCCTATATCTTAGCACTTTGAGAGGCCAAGGCAGGCGGATCACTTGAGGTCAGGAGTTCGAGATCAGCCTGGCCAACATGGCAAAACCCTGTCTCTACTAAAAATACAAAAATTAGGCTGGGCACGGTGGCTCATGCCTGTAATCCTAGCACTTTGGGAGGCCGAGACGGGCGGATGCTCAGGAGTTCGAGACCAGCCTAGGAGCAACATGGTGAAACCCCATCTCTATTAGAATGCAAAAGCCTGGCGGCGAACGGCTGTGATCCCACCTATTTGGGAGGCTGAGTCAGGAGAATTGCTTGAACCAGGAGGCGGAGGTTGCAGTGAGCCGAGATGACATCACTGCACTCCAGCCTGGGCAACAGAGGAAGAGTCTGTCTCAAAGTAAATAAATAAGATAAGATAAAATTAAGACAAAATGCTCATGGTGCCAGCTGGAGCCATCATTCAGAAAACAATTTGGCGCTTGCTAGAGAAGCGGAACACACACTTGCCTGACAACCAGCAGTTCGGTTCCGGGATGCTCCCCAGAGAAGTGCTCACAAGAGCGCACGTGCGGCCGGCGCGGTGGTTCACACCTGTCACCCCAGTACTTTAGGAGGCCGAGGCAGGCGGAGAGGCCAGGCGCAGTGGCTTACACCTGTCATCCCAGCACTTTGGGAGGCCCAGGCGGGCGGGTCACCTATGGTCAGGAGTTTGAGACAAGCCTGGCCAATATGGTGAAACCCCATCTCTACTAAAAATACAAAATTAGTCGGGCATGGTTATGGGTGCCTGTAATACGAGCTGCTCGGGAGGCTGAGGCAAGCGAATCACTTGAACCCGGGAGGTGGTGGAGGTTGCAGCGAGCTGAGATTGCATCACCGCACTCCAGCCTAGGCGATAGGGCCAGACTCCACCTCCAAAAAAAAAAAAAAAAAAAAGGCCGGGCGCGGTGGCTCAAGCCTGTAATCCCAGCACTTTGGGAGGCCGAGACGGGCGGATCACGAGGTCAGGAGATCGAGACCATCCTGGCTAACACGGTGAAACCCCGTCTCTACTAAAAAATACAAAAAACTAGCCGGGCGAGGTGACGGGAGCCTGTAGTCCCAGCTACTCAGGAGGCTGAGACAGGAGAATGGCCCGAACCCGGGAGGCGGAGCTTGCGGTGAGCTGAGATCCGGCCACTGCACTCCAGCCTGGGCGACAGAGCGAGACTCCGTCTCAAAAAAAAAAAAAAAAAAAAAAAAAAGAAAGTGTACATGTGCAGAGCAGCAATCTCAGCAAAGCCTAAAGCCAGACACCGTGTGTTCACCAGCTGCAGCGACACGCCATCTGCATGCCCTCACTCACAGGACGGAACACAGCAAGGAACAGACAAGCCACACCTTTCACTGTCAACAGGGTGAATCCCAAACGTGTAACGTGAGTGAAAGACGCAAGTCCCGGCCGGGCGTGGTGGCTCAAGCCTGTAATCCCAGCACTTTGGGAGGCCGAGACGGGCGGATCACGAGGTCAGGAGATCGAGACCATCCTGGCTAACACGGTGAAACCCCGTCTCTACTAAAAAATACAAAAAACTAGCCGGGCGAGGTGGCGGGCGCCTGTAGTCCCAGCTACTCGGGAGGCTGAGGCAGGAGAATGGCGTAAACCCGGGAGGTGGGGCTTGCGGTGAGCTGAGATCCGGCCACTATACTCCAGCCTGGGCGACACAGCGAGACTCCGTCTCAAAAAAAAAAAAAAAAGACGCAAGTCCCAGAACACCACGTCCAGCACATCAGAGACCACTGATGGGGTCCTGCCGCCGCTCTGGCATTGCTCTTACCAACTGTGCATATGTGCACCTCCCGTTCTGCTGTGTCTCTGACCTCGAAAAGGACAGCACGGGCTTCCCCGCCTCCCGGGGGCCTTTGCGAATTCTGCTCTCCCCAGGCCAGTCGGTGCCCTCCCCATGGAGCTCACTGTGCGTGCATGGAGCCTGGCATGCTTTGGGCCCACAGGAGGTACTCAGCAAGCATTTGTTGAATGACTTAATGAGTACCTGAAGAAAGGGAGCAGTGAGTGAAAGGCCTTTCCCAATTAAATAATTATGGTGTTTCGGCCCCAGCACAAGTTTCTTTCTTCCTTTCACTTTTGAGATGGAGTCTTGCTCTGTCGTCCAGGCTGGAGTACAGTGGCGTGATCTCGGCTCACTGCAAGCTCCACCTTCCGGGTTTATACCATTCTCCTGCCTCAGCCTCCCTAGTAGCTGGGACTACAGGTGCCTGCCACCACGCCCGGCTAATTTTTTAGTATTTTTAGTAAAGAAGGGGTTTCACCCTGTTAGCCAGGATGGTCTTGATCTCCTGACCTCGTGATCCACCCACCTCAGCCTTCCAAAGTGCTGGGATTACAGGAGTGAGCCACCGCGCCCAGCCCACCACCGGCTAATTTTTGTATTTTGTATTTTGTAGAGACGGGGTTTCACCATGTTGGCCAGGCTGGTCTTGAACTCCTGACCTCAAGTGATCCACCTGCCTCAGCTTCCCAAAGTGCTAGAATTACAGATGTGAGCCACACAGCACCAGTTTCTGATGGGGAGACTGAGGCAGGGCAGCCAAGATCTCAGCAGGCCTCAGGAAAGCCCCCTCCCTGGGAGGTCTAAGCCCTGTTTGGGAGGGAGGCTCTGAGTTTCCTCCCCCAGGGGTTCTCCCCTAACCTCTCTGCATCCACATGTTTCCAGCTCATCCTGGGCCAGGACATGTGCAGCACATCTGGAGCCCCCGTCCCCTAGAGGGTCTTGGAGGCCGAGGGCTGCCCCACCCAGAGCCCCCCTCCACCCCTTCAGCTCCTGCCAGCTTCCCTCTGACGCTCTCCCAAGTCCGCCTTCCAGGGGCCCCGAGTCCATGCCAGGAAGGGGCGTTTCCCCGCCCTCACTCTGTCTCAAAGAGAGTTCAGCCTCAGCCTTTGTCCTGGCTGCTCTCGGCTCCCTGCCTCTCCCTCCCCAGGCGAAGCTGGGCACTCGGCCATGAGCCTGTCTCCCCAGGGCAGAGTCCAGATCCCCTCTCCCTCCCCATCCTCTCAGACCTGGCAGGCCTCCTGCTCCCTGGCCCAGGCTTTTTGTCCATGAAAAGAGTCCAGAACACCAGAAAGCTCTGCTGGGCCTGGAAGGACGTGGGGGCACCGCAGGCCAGTGGGGGTCATAGCACCCTGCCTCTGGGCTCCCTTTGTTCCTTCCTTTTCAGGCGTGATGTGCACTGTGCGTGCCTCTCCCTCCTCTGGGCTGTCTGGGGTGGAAGAAAGGCCTGGTGTCGGTGGGGGAAACTGGGGCCTGGGGCCTGGAGCTTAGCACTGGCCACACCCAGAGACTGTCTGCTGGGGCCCGGCCAGGCTGGGCTGTGAGGCTGTGAGGCAGCACAGAGGCTTCCCAGGGTTCCCACCCCTCCCTTTGGGGTCCTGAGCTGGAAGAAAGATGCCTTTGCTGGGCCCGTGGCGCCAGACCCTCAGCCCAGGCAGCAATCCCGGCACAACTGTCACTGCCCGTTCCAGAAGGCCATGCATGGTCTGGACCCTGCCCTGTGGGGGCTGCCCTTTGGGCCCCAGCAGCCCGCACTCCCTGGTGGCCTTGCCTCGTGGCTCCCTGACGCTGTGAGGCTGGAATTATTGGGACAAGAATTCCCACTTTGCAGCAGGCGCGAAGGGGGCGGCCCCTGGACGGGCTGGGATGCGGGACCTGTGAGGCCTCAGAGCCGAAAGGCCAGCCATGTCGTAGGGCTGAGGGGGCAGGGCTTGCGTCTAGGGCCAGCTGCGCTTCGCCTGCCCCAGGTCTCCCCAGAAGCCTGGGGACGTCCCCGTTGCTGACCCGCACCCCAAACCTGGCCTGGGGACCCTCTTCCTTGTCTTTCAGGCCGTGTAGAGGCCCCGCCTGCTCCCGTCCTGGGGCAGCCTCCCCTGGCCTCCGCAGCCCAAGCCTCTGGGTCCCTCAGGCCGAGGGGCAGCAGGAGCGGCCGAGGCCTTGGGCTGGGAGGCAGGGACCTTTAGCCCAGTCTATGCTGCTTCTCTTCTGTTTCTAGGCTCGGTGTGACCTGGGCCGTCTCTGCCCTTCCCCGCCCCTGCGTCCTCACCTTCACCTCAGTACAGGGCCCAGGTGAAGTGGATCTGACTGGGCCTCAAGGGTAGGTCCGGCCTGGGTCAGATGAGTGTCTCTGGAGCTGCCGCAGGCTGGCGGATCCTCGCTGGCCGGGAGGGCATCCCGCAGGCCAGCCTGGTCCTCACCAGCCCTGGGAGTTGGCGTCAGGGCCTTGCTCCACAAGCAGGTGCTGACCCTCGGCTTCCTCCTGAGTCCCCAGCCCGGGGCCCGCGTGGCTCCGCAGCCGACAGTGCCTCATTCCTGCAAGCGAGTCTGGCCTCCTTTCCCGGGCACGGGAAAAGCGCGGCTCTCCAGAGCCGGACCCTCCGAGCCAGCCTCGCCCGCCCACCCCCACGCCAGGTCTCCTGCCTCCACGGCCGGGGGATCCCCTTGCTGAGTGGGCGGGAAGGGGAAGGTGGGCCGTAGCCGCGGGACGCCCGGGCTGAGACCCGGGAGAGGGGGAGCAGCGCCGGTGACTCAGCCGCGCCCGCGTCTCACCTGCGCGGGCCGGACCGCGGGAGCTCGGGCGCAGAGGCGGAACCCGTCCGCCCGTGGGCGTGGCCGGTGGTGGGCGGGACGGGGGCGGGCCTCCCGCCCCTCGTCCCGCCCCGGGGTCCCTACCCCACGGTCCCGCGGCCCAGCCCGCCTCCGCCTCCGGCTCCCCGCACTCTCTGGCTCCACGCGTCGTCCTCCCGCGCGCCCGCCCGCCCATGGCCGGGAAGGTGCGGTCACTGCTGCCGCCGCTGCTGCTGGCCGCCGCGGGCCTCGCCGGGCTCCTACTGCTGTGCGTCCCCACCCGCGACATCCGGGAGCCGCCCGCCCTCAAGGTGCGCGCCCGGGCACCCAGCGCAAGTCCGGGGAGCAGCGGGCCGGGCCCGGGAGCCGGGGAGGGGGTGCGCGGCTGGGAACCCGAGCAGGGTCAGCCCAAGACCCCCACCGCGCTCTGCTCCTGGAGGGCTGGGTGGGGTCCCGGGTTCCGCGCTTTGCGCTCCCCAACCAGGTACGCGGGGTGGCGGTGTCGCTTCCAGGACGACGCGGTGCCGGAGGAACAAGTCCCGGGAACTCCGCGCTCGCCGCGAGCCCGTCAACGCAGCCCAGAGGCTGTGTCCCCGCTCCCGGGATGCAGCCCCGGCGATGCCCCCTGGGTGCTGCCAGACGCCCGCCCCCAGCCTTGTGCGGGCCTCCAGGGGCACTCTGGGCCACTTCTGCCCTGTGCTGCCGCCCCGGAGGGTGTGGTTAGAGGCACATCAACTGGGTATTCAGCCCAGATAGGGATCCACAAGCCCAGGACCCCCTCTGGGACACAAGGGTAGCCCAAAGAGAGAGGAGGGCTTGACCGGAGCAGCCCTGGCAGGTCCTCAAAAAGTTGGAGCAGGCTAGCCCGGATCTCCACTCCAGCAGGCCCAGGGACCTCCTGACCGGCCCCTTTAACCCTTTATTGGGCTTGTGGAGGGTGGGGAGGAGAGCCAAGCCCCCCAGCCCGATGGGGAGTCAGAAGCGGGCAGCTCTGCGGTTCTGCAGGATGGCTGGGTGGCGGTGCACACCCTGGCCTGTTGATGCTCTGGGCTCTGGGGAGACCTTGGTGGGGATGGACTGGTGCAGCCCTCTCACAGGCTGGAATTGGCCCCTGGGCCTGGGAGACTGGTCCCCAGCTTTCCCAGTGGATCCAGGATGCTGGGGCAGGAACTGGAAAGGGGCATTTACAAGCTCGTGCCACCCAGGTCTGCAGGAACGCCCACCCAGCGCCCCCAGCAGGGCAGGGCCAGCTTCTCTCTCTGGCCCTGGCTTGGAGGCCTAGGGAAAACGTGTCTTTAGAGCCCACCTGGCTCTGAGGCCCACGGCCAGCCTTGGCGGACCTTCTTCACCTGGGCCCCGCCTCCTGCATCCTGGGCCCCGCCTCCTGCATCCTCAGGTTGGGTCAGAGGAGTTGGAAGGAGAAAGGGGAGGAAGGAAGAGGGGAAGAAGGAAGAGGGACTCTAGGGGGCTCCTCCTGCAGCAGAGCTTCCTCTCCCTGAGCCTGGGGACCTTGTGCCCCAAGGAAAAGTCCCTGGGGACCCTCTGTCCCTCTATTGCTGACTCAGTCCCTCAGTCTGCCCTTGCCAGGAAGGCTGCTGCCCAGACCCTGGCATGCTGGCTTCAGGTAGTCAGGAGGGAAGAGTCACCTCCCCCCGCCGTTCTCCTTCCAACCACAGTTGTCCTGGCCTCCTCTGAGCTTTAGCATGAGGCTTGGCACATGACTGCGTGTAAGGGGGTGGCAAACTGGAGGGACCCAACTTCACGTTTGGTGTCAGGGTGTCAGGGCCCCCAGACACACCAGGCTGACTCCCTTCCCCTCCCCCCAGTACGGCATTGTCCTGGACGCTGGCTCTTCACACACGTCCATGTTTATCTACAAGTGGCCGGCAGACAAGGAGAACGACACAGGCATCGTGGGCCAGCACAGCTCCTGTGATATTCCAGGTGAGACCCAGCCCAGCCCAGCCAGGACATCCACTCACTGCAGGGTTTCTGGGGCCCTCTCCAGCCTTAGCCGGTGCATTTCCAAGCACTTAGGGCCTTCTGCTTACTGTTGGGTGGGGCTCACTCCAGGCAGAAGCCCTGGAAAGAAAGACAGGCTGGGCCCCCTCCGCCTGGGTGGGGCCAGGAGTCGTTTGCATTCTAGAAAGGAAGTGGCTCAAGCCTGTAATCCCAGCACTTTGGGAGGCCGAGACGGGCGGATCACGAGGTCAGGAGATCGAGACCATCCTGGCTAACACGGTGAAACCCCGTCTCTACTAAAAAAATACAAAAAACTAGCCGGGCGAGGTGACGGGAGCCTGTAGTCCCAGCTACTCAGGAGGCTGAGACAGGAGAATGGCCCGAACCCGGGAGGCGGAGCTTGCGGTGAGCTGAGATCCGGCCACTGCACTCCAGCCTGGGCGACAGAGCGAGACTCCGTCTCAAAAAAAAAAAAAAAAAAAAAGAAAGGAAGCCCAGGCAGCAGGTAGGAGGTTTGGGCCTTGCAGGGCCCAATATTGGCTTCTGTGCCCCAGATGGAGCAGGAGGAGGTCTGGGGGCCTGGCGGGCATACCCAGGCAGGCCCCAGGAGGCCAACTTGGGTCGACCATGCCCAGGGCTTTGTCCTAGCCCCTGCACTCACACCCTCTCAGCAGGCAGCAGCCTCGGTCTCTAGGTGGCGGCTGGGCCCCTTTGCTCTAACCTGGGCATTTCTGGGGGCTTAAGCTGGGAAGGTGTGCCACCTGGTCAGGGAGCCCATGGCTCCTACCCCCACTCTCACTCTCCTGGCCTACGGCCCACCTAGGGGCTGCCCGTGAGGCACGGGTTCATCTCTCTGCCTTCCTCTAGGCGGGGGCATCTCCAGCTACGCAGACAACCCTTCTGGGGCCGGCCAGAGTCTTGTTGGATGCCTTGAACAGGCGCTTCGGGATGTGCCCAAAGAGAGACAAGCGGGCACGCCCCTCTACCTGGGAGCCACAGCGGGTATGCGCCTGCTCAAGTGAGTGTGCCTGTGCCCTGGCCCTGTCCCCATGATAGCTTTTGGCTGTGACCCCTTGTGGGGTGGACCCCGAGTACTGCCACAGCAGGCTCACAGCCACCTGGGGAGGAGGCCTCTTGGAGTTCTCTGTGTTTTGCAGCCTGACCAATCCAGAGGCCTCAACCAGTGTGCTCACGGCAGTGACGCACACACTGACCCAGTACCCCTTTGACTTCCGGGGTGCACGCATCCTCTCGGGCCAGGAAGAGGGGGTGTTTGGCTGGGTGACTGCCAACTACCTGCTCGAGAACTTCATCAAGGTGGGCCCAGCAGGTAGCCAAAGAGCCAGGGGGCGTGGGTGCCCTCAGTCCCTGGTTGACCCCACACTTCCCTCTCCACAGTACGGCTGGGTGGGCCGGTGGTTCCGGCCACGGAAGGGGACGCTGGGGGCCATGGACCTGGGGGGTGCCTCCACCCAGATCACCTTTGAGACGACCAGTCCGGCTGAGGACAGAGCCAGTGAGGTCCAGCTGCGTCTCTACGGCCAGCATTACCGAGTCTACACCCACAGCTTCCTCTGCTACGGCCGTGACCAGGTCCTCCAGCGGCTGCTGGCCAGCGCTCTCCAGGTGCCCCTCCACCCTGGCTGACCTGCATTGCACCGTCCCCTCCTGGAGCGGAGCCTGGACAGCCACCGTGCTGTGGAAAGCTTCTCCAGGCTGGGCTTTAATTGGCTGGAAAGACAGGTGGGAGGGTCAGAGCGTGAGCAAAGGGCCAGTGGCTGGGCTGGGCCTGGAGAAGGGAGGGCCAGGGACGTCTGTCAGAGGGAGCCTGGTCAGGGGCGTTGGGATCTGTCAAGCAGGCAGTGGGGAACCATGGATTGCCCCTGAGCACAAAAGTGAGGTTGCCAGAGTGAGACCTGGGGGAGGTTCGTCAGGCTGGCCCCCTGGAGCGGCGGTGGTGCCGCCCTGTCATGCTGGTGATTCCCCCAGACCCACAGCTTCCACCCCTGCTGGCCAAGGGGCTTTTCCACCCACGTGCTGCTCGGGGATGTGTACCAGTCACCATGCACCGTGGCCCAGCGGCCCCAGACCTTCAACAGCAGCGCGCGGGTCAGCCTGTCGGGAAGCAGTGACCCCCACCTCTGCCGAGATCTGGTTTCTGGGCTCTTCAGCTTCTCCTCCTGCCCCTTCTCCCGATGCTCTTTCAATGGCGTCTTCCAGCCCCCAGTGGCTGGGAACTTTATCGTGAGTAGGGGCAGACGGGTGGCGGCAGGTGCCCTGAGCTGCTGGGGTCTGCTCACAGCGTGCCTGTGCCCCCTTACAGGCCTTCTCTGCCTTCTTCTACACGGTGGACTTCTTGCGGACTTCCATGGGGCTACCCGTGGCCACCCTACAGCAGCTGGAGGCCGCCGCAGTGAACGTCTGCAACCAGACCTGGGCTCAGGTGAGTCCCGCTCCCCCTCCTCCAGGGCCGTGTGGAAGGGCTCAGCCTTCATGTCCGCATACCTCCCCAGCCCTGCATGGAGGGGCCTCTCGGAGTACCCGCTGCAGTGGGGGCGATGGCAGGCATCAGGCTGACTCCAGAGGTGGCGGGGATGTGACCGGGAGGCTGTGAACAAGTCGGGCGGGCTGGAGAAGCTTTGCCAGGCCTGACCCTCATCCCAGATCTGGAGGGCAGAGGGGAGGCCGGTGCCCAGGTTTCTGGCTCTGCCACTGGTCCCTCCATGGTGCCATGCAAGGGAAGATGGAAGTAGGGCTGGGCACAGGGAGTGTGCCCACTGGAGACTCCAAGAGAAACGTACGAGCTGTCCCAGGACTGGGGTGGTGAGCGAGGCCCTATCTCGTCCTCCCAGGGCCTAGTCTCAGACAGACTGGGGTGGGGCAGGTTGGGACTCAGGCCTGGAGCTCCTCCTGTTCCCCTGGCCACACACCAACGTGTTGCTGCCCCTGCTCCCTGGTGGCCATGCCTGCTGTCCCTCCTCACTGGCCTTCCAGGCTGGCTGGGGAGGGATGGAAGCGTGCCCAGCCGGGGGTGCCCCTTAGACTCGGTCTTGCCATTCGTGTCCGGGCCTGTGTGGTGGTCTCTGGCCTTGCACCGCCCGTGTGTGTCTGGGGAGGGGTGAAGCACGCCGCCGGCCCCCTCTCCCCGTGGGGCGGAGACCTCCTGGTGGTCGACTGCCTGACTGTGTCCTGCCCGCATCCCAGCTGCAAGCTCGGGTGCCGGGGCAACAGGCCCACCTGGCCGACTACTGCGCCGGGGCCATGTTCGTGCAGCAGCTGCTGAGTCGCGGCTACGGATTCGACGAGCGCGCCTTCGGCGGTGTGATCTTCCAGAAGAAGGTGGGCTGGGGCCGGAGCGGAAGGGGGCCGCCCTTGGGGGGGCGGGGCCTCTCGGGAGCTGAGGCCACGCCCTTCGCCGCAGGCCGCGGACACTGCAGTGGGCTGGGCGCTCGGCTACATGCTGAACCTGACTAACCTGATCCCCGCCGACCCGCCGGGGCTGCGCAAGGGCACGGACTTCAGCTCCTGGGTCGTCCTCCTGCTGCTCTTCGCCTCCGCGCTGCTGGCTGCGCTTGTCCTGCTGCTGCATCAGGTGCACTCCGCCAAGCTGCCAAGCACCATTTAGGGGCCGGCGGGGGAAGCTGTGCCATCACTCCCCCCACCGCTGTATCCCCACCCCTCCACCCACCCCCACCCCTGTACCTACCTCTCTCCCCTGTATCCTGCATTCCTCCACCCACCCTCTATCCCCCACTCCTCCACCCTCCCACTGTATGCTCCATCCCTCCACTCCAGCACTGTATTCTCCATCCCTCCACCCCACCCTCAGCGTCTCTGCCCCTAAGGCAGCCCAGGAAATGGGAACTGAGACTCTGGTACCCACAGGGGCCCCAGTGGGCAAAGAGCGATCAATCCAGCTCCCTGAGCCGCTTCAGCCTGGGCGTCACTGCAGGCCCCGTGCTCCTCCTCCTCCTCCTCCTCCTCCTCCTCAGGGCTGGGTCTCCAGGGAGTGGGGCCTTGGTTCCAAGAATCAGCCCTTAGAGGCTCCGTCTGTGGGGTCTGCGTCTTTACTGGGGAGGGTCACAGCCCACGGGCTGGCAGCCAGCCCAGCACCTACTTGTAAAAGTTTTGTAATAAAAAGATTTTCCTAGAGACGTGAAAGGAGAGTGTCTGTGGGATGGGGCATCCTTGCTGTGGCCTGTGCCCCACCTTCCCGCCGTTCTGGCAGCACAGGCCTACCCCTGGTCCTGAGGGTGGACACCAGCCCTCCCTACTGTTTTCTGCTCTGGAGCCAGGCCTGGGGCACTGGCTGCTCCCCTGCTGTGCCGTGGCAGCCTAGAGTAGCTGCAGGAATGGTTGGCCCGAGGGAGCATTCCTGGGACCTTGAGTCTTCTCTGGCCAGCAGAGTTCCCCAAAACCATCACATCCAGATCTGCGTTGGTGACCAAGGCCAGACTGGAGGTTGGGTCCTGGTACAGTGAGCCTGTACCACTCACTGGAGGGTAGGGGTCAGGGAGGTGGTGGAGAGCGGGTGGCAGCCAGCCAGGCGGCTTCCTAGGGGGCAGTCAGTGCTGGTAGAAAGTGGAGGGAGGGCAGGTCCTCATCAGGAGGTGGCACAGGGGTGGGAGATGAGATCAGGACCAGGACCCAGAGGCAGGAATCTTGCACAGAACCTGGCTGTGGAGCCAGGCCATGCACTGTCACAGGGCAACTTGCCCTTCTCACCTGGGACTGAGCGTCCTACACTTCCAAGAGGCATCCTGCAGCCCCGGCCAGGCCCCGCAGCCCCTCCCCAAGCCAGTCTTCTCCAGGATGGGAAGGCCTGGTCTTGCCCACTCGCCTCCTCAACTTTCTGGGAAGTGAGCTTAGACGCTGTCTCTCTGTTCAGTGTCCTGGGAGGATGGTGATTCTTATCCTGCTCCTCCTTCCCCCCTACACCTTTTTTTTTTTTTTTTTGAGACGGAGTCTCGCTCTGTTGCCCAGGCTGGAGTGCAGTGGCCGGATCTCAGCTCACTGCAAGCTCCGCCTCCTGGGTTTGGGCCATTCTCCTGCCTCAGCCTCCCAAGTAGCTGGGACTACAGGCGCCCGCCACCTCACCCGGCTAGTTTTTTTGTATTTTTTAGTAGAGACGGGGTTTCACCGTGTTAGCCAGGATGGTCTCGATCTCCTGACCTCGTGATCCACCCGTCTTGGCCTCCCAAAGTGCTGGGATTACAGGCTTGAGCCACCGCGCCCAGCTTTTTTTTTTTTTTTTAGTCATTTGATAAACCTGAGGGCAGCCAGCCCCAGCTTTGGAGTTCTGAGACTGGAAGGACCAAGGGGACATCCCGGGTTGGAGGTCTCACTCTTGTTCTCTGAATGACTAGTCGAGGGAGGTTTCTAGTGGGATGGGATGGGCGTGCTCTTGGGAGGCAACAGGTGAGGTGCAAGGGGGGCATCAGAGATGCCCATTGTCAGCTGGGCACAGTGGCTCACGCCTGTAATCCCAGCACTTTGGGAGGCTGAGGCTGGCGTATCACCTGAGGGCAGGAGTTCAAGACCAGCTGAGCCAACATGGTGAAACCCCGTCTCTACTAAAAATACAAAAATTAGCCCAGCGTGGTGGCACGCGCCTGTAATCCCAGCTACTCGGGAGGCAGAGGCACGAGAATCACTTGAACCCGGGAGGTGGAGGTTGCAGTGGGCCGAAATGGCACCACTGCACTCCAGCCTGGGCGACAGAGACTCTGTCTCAAAGGAAAAAAAAATGCCCGTTGTCCTGGGGGAGCTAAAGGGTTCACCTGGGGACCGTGAACACCTTGGACAGCTCCCAGCTGCAGTCCTCAGTGGCTCCGGGTCACTCTTGCCCCCTGGTGGCCTCACTGAGCGCGGCCGCCGGCTCCAGCCAAAGCTGCAGTCCGGGCCGAGGCCGTTCTGCGTTCCTGTATTTGCTTTTCCCGCGAGTGGGGGTGCCCTTGCCTCTGTGGGCACACCTGTGCCTCCCTGCGCACCTGCTCAGCTTGTGAGCACCTGTCTGCGTGAGCCCGGCGCTCCTGTGTCCTTGTGCGCTCGAGAGGCTAGGCCCATACAGGTCCTCTGCCCCATCGCGGGTGCGGGTGAGGGGCTGAGAGTCCTACCGGGAAGAGGCCAGAAGGGAGCGCATCCCGGAGACACCCACCCGCGGCCCAAACCCAGCCGGACTTCTGGGAACTGCACCGGCCCCGGAGGCCGCAGGTGCCGAGACACCCTGAGGCCGAGAGAGGTACAGAGCGGCCCGGAGAGGGGACCAGAACTGGAGCAGGGGGAGGGGGTGCAGCCTGGAGCCGCCCTCCCTCCCCCGCAGGTGGAGCGCGCAGGCGCAGTCTCCGCGCGCGCGCCTCGCCGGCGCCTCCATCCCGGATCCTTGCTGCAGCGTCAGCGCCGCCGCCCGTGCCTTTCCTCTTCCTCCTCCTTCTCCTTGGCCTCCGCCTCCTCTTTCCCCTCCGTCCTCCCCGGCTGCCTCCGCTGCTCCCGACGCGGAGCCCGGAGCCCGCGCCGAGCCCCCGGCCTCGCGGTGCCATGCTGCCCCGGCGGCGGCGTTGAAGGATGGCGACGCCGCTGCCTCCGCCCTCCCCGCGGCACCTGCGGCTGCTGCGGCTGCTGCTCTCCGGCCTCGTCCTAGGCGCGGCCCTGCGTGGAGCCGCCGCCGGCCACCCGGGTGAGCGAGCGCGCTGGGCGCAGGCCGCGGGGCGCCCCGGGGCCGGGATCGCCAGGCGGGGACCGGGTTGCCGGGCGCCGCCGCCCTTGTCTTTCCCAGGCCCGCAGGCCCTGCAGGCCTGGTCCGCTAGTGGCGGCGGCCCCGCCTCGCCCAGGATGGAATAAACAGGTCCGGCGGGAGGGCGCAGCGCGGAGCCTCGAAAGGCCGCGCCGGATGGGGTTTCTGCCGGTTCCCGGAGGCGAACCTGAGGTTCCTGGCTTCTTCCGCAGGGAACCCGTCTGGCTCAGGCCTCGGTGCCGCGGCCATCTGGCTCTGGGCGGGCCCGCTGGGAGTCTGCCTGCGTCTGTGTGTGTCTCCGTGTTCGGGGCTCCTGCGGGTGCGGGCTGGCCCTGAGTGCCCGCCGGCTTCGCTGCCCGTGCGCGTCCCCGGGTCGGGGCCTAGTGCTACTCTGCCTGTCCTCACTCCTTGGGTGGCTCTGGGCACCGGCCTTGTGCGCCATGGTGGGCACTGAAGTTCCGGGGACACTTGATGGCGCCGGCTCGGGGTCCTGTTCTAGCTTCAATGTGGGGAGGCTGTTGTAGCCTCAGAGCCTCCTCCTGCAGCCCCTGCCCTCGAGGGCACTGGCATTCTCTTTGGGACTGAGGGCTGCAGGTGGACTCCGGAGGAGGGTGATAAGCCCAGGGTCCAGCTGCACAGATGGGTCCTGAGGTTCCAGAGAGCAGAGCTCCCTGCAGGAACCCAGGATGCAAAGCTGACCTTTCTCTGGGGGGACTGAACTGGGAGACTGTGACTGCATTCGTGCAATCCTCCTGGCAGCCCTGCAGAAGAGGTACTGCGAGCCCATTTTACAGGCAAGGAAACTGAGGCATGGAGAAGTTAAGTGGGTTGTGGCACAGCTGAGGCGCTGACCTGGGCAGCCTGGTTCTGCATGTGTGGTCTCAAAGAGACCAGAGTGAGGCCGGCTTCCTCCTGGGCGCAGTGCCCCTGGATGGGAGGTGGGCATGAACAGGACAGGCTTCCGAGAGTCAGAGTGTGGTCGGCCAGGAAAGGCGGAGGCCACCTATTCAGGAAACGGGGCTGCAGTTGCTGTGCTGAGCCCGGGTGGGTGGCGGGTGCCAGTCCTCAGTTCATGGGCCTCTGCAGCTTCATGTCTGCCTCACCAGGAGACCTAGCAGGGCCCTCCCTAGGCAACCCCCCCACTCCCAGTGCCCAGTGCTTGGAAGGGAGGGCCCTCAGGCAGCCCAGACGTTGAGTGGTGGGGGGTGCCAACCACTCTCTAGCTGCTCTTGTTCCTGAGACCTCTCAGGAGGAGGAAGTGGGGGATGGAGGCTCCTGGGCTGGGGAATAAGGGTCTGGGAGGGGCCTGGAACCCAGACCCTAGAGCCAGCTTTGTACCTCAGGCCCCTGCCTTTGGCATGGTGGACTGTGGGTTATCAGCACAGGGGTAGGGACTGCCTTACTCGCCAGGTGCCAAGCTGGCAGATGGGCCCAGGGCACAGGTTTAATGTTTAACATGCCCAAGTCCCGGCCCACTGATACTGAGGCTGCTGCCCCAGGTCATGGAGGGTGGGCAGTGCCTGGCATTGGCTCCTGTGCCCACCTGCCACTGCAGCTGCTGAGGCTGCTGGAACTGCCTCGAAGGGAAGCCGACAGCCTGAGGGCCCTGAGTGTCAGGTTACCAAGGAAACCAAGCCAGCCAGCCAAGGTCTGGAGAAGGACAGATGCCCCGTGTGGCCCCAGTGGCCCGCCTGCAGTGTGCAGTGTGGGGCTGGGCAGAGAGGAAGAGTCCTGGTTAGCCCGAGGTCCCACCGCAGACTCCCCAAGCAGGGTTGATGGCCCTGCTGGGGTTCCCCTGGCTCCACTGGCTCGCCGTGACTGGGGACATTCTTTAGCTTTGAGACAACTCAGCTTCTGCATCCCAGAGGGGAAACTGAAGCAGAGGGCTATTGCTCTCTCGCCCAGTTCTCCAGCACCAGGATAAGACTGATTAGCCACATGTGTCAGCTGGTACCGTGGCCTGGGCCCCTCATCAGCGAGATGAAAGTGTGGTCAGGAACTAGTGTCTGGCCTGCCGTCCCCAGCACTGCCAGCCTTGGCCTCCTGAGGCCCTCGGGTGCCACCTGGCCCCTGACTGCAGCCCCTGGTGGTGTGGCTTTGGGAGTGACCTGCCTGTGTTCTGTGTCTGAGGTCAGTGAGGCCAGCAGACTCCATTTTAGGTCTCCTTGGTGCCTGGGGGACAAGCCAGAGGCTGGAGGAGCCGCGTCCCTTCTTCCAGGCTGCGCATTTGTTCAGTGCCGGGTTCAAGGCAGAGCCGCACGGGAAGGAGAGGCCTCTGGCAGCATCGTTTGCTGCTCCCCAGAGACAGACCTGGGCCCTTCCCTCTGGGACTTCCAATCTGGATGGGGTTCCTGGCTCGCTGTGGGGCATGTTGAGGCTGGAGACTGGGCTTGTGGGGCTGCATGGCCCTGCCCAAGAGAACTCAGCACTGCCTGGACAGTGAGGCTCAGCTTCTGAGTTGAGGGCTCTATCAGGCCTGGAAGTGGACCCGGGAGGGGGAGGGGCAGGGTAGTTCTGAGAAGTTCTAGGACTGTTTGCTTCCTGATTCTGAGCCCCTGCGGCAGGGAGGAAGGGCCTGTCCAGAACAATGGCCAGAACCAAGCCTGGCCAGCTCCCGGCCAGCTCTGGGGGTGTCATCGCTGCCATGTGCAGGGGCCAGCCCTGCGGGGCCGTGAGCCGGCCCTGCCTTCTGCTTCCTTCCCAGATGCAGCCGCCTGTCCCGGGAGCCTGGACTGTGCCCTGAAGAGGCGGTCACGGTGTCCCCCTGGTGCACATGCCTGTGGGCCCTGCCTTCAACCCTTCCAGGAGGACCAGCAAGGGCTCTGTGTGCCCAGGATGCGCCGGCCTCCGGGTACGAGGGCAAAGGGGGAAGTCGATGGGGGGATGTCCCTGCGTGAACCTCTCCCTGTAAGAAGCGGCCGGCCGGGCACGGTGGCTCACGCCTGTAATCCCAGCACTGTGGGAGGCCCAGGCAGGTGGATTTCTTGAGGTCAGGAGTTCAAAACCAGCTTGGCCAACAAGGTGAAACCCTGTCTCTACCAGAAATACAAAATAGCCGGGTGTAGTGGCGCATGCCTGTAATCCCAGCTACTCGGGAGGCTGAGGCAGGAGAATCGCTTGAACCTGGGAGGCAGAGGTTGCAGTGAGCCGAGATTGCACCACTGTACTCCAGCCTGGGCGACACAGCGAGACTGTGTCTCAAAAAAAAAAAAAAAAAAAAAGAAGTCTCGATGCCCAGGCCTGTGCCAGGTGGTCCCAGCACCCCTGGACCTTGTGGGGTGTTGGGTCCAAGGCCTGGGAGATCCTCCTTCACTCTCCACGAAGCTTCCCATCCTTTCCAAATGGAGCTGGACCCAGGTCTGGGGCACTCAGGCCCTCCTAGGGGAAGGGCTGTACAATAGGAAATGCTGGAGTGGCCACGGGAGAGGAGGGGTCCATTCTCCCCGGGCCTGGGCTCTGCAGGGTCTGCCCAGAAGCCCTCCAGGCCCCCACTTCCCCGTCCGCAGGCAGCTTGCTCTTTTCCGCCACTCACTGTCCTGTCCACCCGTTGGCACATGTTTACGCGTGCTGGCACGGCTGGGTGCTGGGTGTGACCCACCTGCCAGCCTGAGCCGCATCTGTCGGGATGGTCAGTCACTGAGTGACTGTAGGTATGGTGAGGGCTTTGCTCAGAGGTGCTGGGGGTGGGAGCAGCAGCGGCTTCCCGGAGAGGGTGTTGAGAGGGGCACTGAGAAGCGGCTGTAAGGGTCTGTGTGGGCTCATCGCCTGCCTACCGGGGAGCGTCTGCCTGGACTGTGCAGCCCACAGTGGGCACCACTGGGGCCCTGCCACCAGCCCCACCCCTGACGGCTGCCCCTGTTCTCCTGACGACCTGGGGAGGGGACCCGGATGCTTGACTTCCTTCGGCTTTCCCGCACTCCTTGGGGAGTCACTGCCCCTCTGCCTGAGAAGGTGCTTGGAGGTGGGGAAGCAGAAGGGGCTGTGCTGGCCAGCCCTTTATGGACATGGGTTGGGGCGAGAGATCCCACTCCTTCCTCCCCCTGCCCGGTCTTTGGACATTTCCCTAGCACCTCCTCCCCCTTGCCCTGCCCCCACTTTCCGGGAAGCACTGCCCCTCACAGGAAGCGCCCACACTGTCACCATGGCAATCCGGGAGGGAGAGGGCCCCCAGGCGTGTTCCAGTCCTCAGGCGCCTGGGAGGAACCTGCCAGGAACAGGGAGGCCGGGCCTGGGGCTACTTCCTGGACAGGGTCCCTCCACCTGATGGTCCCTCACCCTCCCCAGGTGGGGGCCGGCCCCAGCCCAGACTGGAAGATGAGATTGACTTCCTGGCCCAGGAGCTTGCCCGGAAGGAGTCTGGACACTCAACTCCGCCCCTGCCCAAGGCCCGACAGCGGCTCCCAGAGCCTGGTGAGACCCCCGATTCCCCTGCCCCATGGCCTTGTCCCGAGCCCAGTGCTCTCGCTCTAACCTGTCCTCTCTTACAGCCACCCTGGGCTTCTCAGCACGGGGACAAGGACTGGAGCTGGGCCTCCCCTCCACTCCAGGAACCCCCATGCCCACGCCCCACACCTCCCTGGGCTCCCCTGTGTCATCCGAGCCGGTGCACATGTCGCCCCTGGAGCCCCGGGGAGGGCACGGCGACGGCCTTGCCCTCGGTAGGTCTTGGTCGGGGGTGGGCAGGGGCGGCAGGGCCCCCCGCAGAGGCCGCCCTCACACGCCCCCTTCTGCAGTGCTGATCCTGGCATTCTGTGTGGCCGGCGTGGCTGCCCTCTCCGTAGCCTCTCTCTGCTGGTGCAGGTGAGCCAGCGGCCGCGGGCAGGGCAGGGAGGGCACCACATGCTCAGAGGTCTCAGGCCTCACTCCCCACAGGCTGCAGCGTGAGATCCGCCTGACCCAGAAGACTGACTACACCGCTGCAAAGTCCCCTGGCTCACCTGCAGCGCCCCGGATCTCGGTGTGTGGCCCTCTTCGGCCCTGAGGCTCCCGTCCAACTCTGACCGCCACCTGACCCTCACCCCCTCCCCTACTCCTTCCCACAGCCTGGGGACCAGCGGCTGGCACACAGCGCGGAGATGTACCACTACCAGCACCAGCGGCAGCAGATGCTGTGCCTAGAGCGGTGAGTGGCTGCCCCGGCCCCGCCACCCCCTCCCACCCACCTCCCATCCCCACCTCCTCCTCCCTTGGTCAACTTTACCCTGGGCCCTGCCACCCTCACCTGCACCCTCACCTTCACCTCCCCTGCCGCCCTGCACCCTCACCTCCCCTGGCCAACTTCACCCTGGGCTCTGCTCCCCTGCCACCCCAGGGCTGAGGTGGGCTGAGTGCCCACTTCCAGACTGGGCCACTGGCACCTCGAGGGTGTGGGGAGGACCCAGCGATCCCCCCCCACCCAGGCATAAAGAGCCACCCAAGGAGCTGGACACGGCCTCCTCGGATGAGGAGAATGAGGACGGAGACTTCACAGTGTACGAGTGCCCGGGCCTGGCCCCAGTGAGTGCCTCAGGGTGTAGGGAGGGGCATACCATCTCCTGGGGTTTCCTCCCAGCAAGCATGCCCCCAGTCCACCCACTGCCCGGCCTGACACCCACGTTCGCAGACCGGGGAAATGGAGGTGCGCAACCCTCTATTCGACCACGCCGCACTGTCCGCGCCCCTGCCGGCCCCCGGCTCACCGCCTGCGCTGCCATGACCTGGAGGCAGACAGACGCCCACCTGCTCCCTGACCTCGAGACCCCCGGGGAGGGGCAGGGCCCGGAGCTTCCCACTAAAAACATGTTTTGATGCTGTGTGCTTGTGACTGGGCCTTGGGCTTCAGGCCCTGGGATCCCTTGCCAGGGAGACCCCCAAACATTTGTGCCAGGAGACCTCCTGGTCCCCTGCACCTCTCCTGTTCGGTTTGGACCCCCAAACTGGAGGGGCAGGGAGAACCGTGGAGCGCAGGAATGGGTGGGGAATTCTAGAGACAAAAGCCAATTAAAGTCCATTTCAGACCTGCGGCTTCTGCCTGTGTTGCCGGCTTGTGTTAATCTTCCGCCGTCTCCATCCACCATGTGGGGCCCTGGTAGATGGACCTTTGAGTGGGGGCCCTGGCGTCTGCTCTTGCACCCCCAGAGGGTGGAGGCCTTTCTGTCCCCTCATTAGGAGGACCTTCCTGTCCCGTGGAGCTGGAGGAGAGGCCACAGGATCATCCCCACCCTCCTCAGCCAGGCCTCACCCCTGCAGACCCTTCTACTCAGGTGGGAGAGGGGAAGGGTGCAGCATAGGGCTGGGCCAGCCCAGAGTTGGTTCTACGGTCCGAAAGACCCCATCCTGTGTGATAAAGAGGGCTGGAGCAGGGGACAGTCCACACACACCTGGATGTGGGTGCCCATCACCTCCAGGCAGAAGGAAAATGATGCAGACATTGAGTCTGGGTTTCTCATGGGGACCGCGGACGTCAGGCCCTGCAGCACGCGGAGAGGGGATGGCAGGCAGAGGTACTTGTGTGACACCAGCTATGCACAGCCAGGTGGACTCATGGGGCCAGGTGAGGGGTGTGATGGGAGAGGCCTGGACACCTGGAGCTGGGACTTGGCCCCTCCTAAATTTGGAGCAAAGTGGCCCCAAGGGAGGGTGGGGGACCATGTGGTCAAAAGTGCCCAGATCAGGCCAGTACCAGGTCAGGGTGCAGGGGCTGAAACTCTGTGTCCCACTGACGCTGGGGATGTAGGAGGACTGGGTTCAGAAGCGCCTCAGTGGTTATTAGGAGTCTGGAGGCCCAGGCGCCTAGACAGCCCTGGTATGTTCTTATTATTAGTCAGGGTTCTCTTATTATTTATTTATTTTTGAGACGGAGGTTCGCTCTTACTGCCCAAGCTGGAGTGCAATGGCACGATCTTGGCTCACCGCAACCTCTGCCTCCCAGGTTCAAGGGATTCTCCTGCCTCAGCCTCCCAAGTAGCTGGGATTATAAGCATGCGCCACCACACCCAACTTATTTTGTATTTTTAGTAGAAACAAGTTTTCTCCATGTTGGCCAGGCTGGTCTCGAATTCTCAACCTCAGGTGATTTGCCCACCTTGGCCTCCCAAAGTGCTGGGATTACAGGCGTGAGCCACCGCACCTGGCCAGTCAGAGTCCTCTTAGAGGAACAGAACTAATAGGAGATATATATATGGAGGGGGGCCAAGCACGGTGGCTCACGCCTGTAATCCCAGCACTTTGGGAGGCTGAGGCAGGCAGATTGCCTGAGCTCAGGAGTTTGAGACCAGCCTGGGCAACACAGTAAAACCCCGTCTCTACTAAACTACAAAAAATTAGCCGGGCGTGGCGGCAGGCGCCTGTAGTCCCAACTGTCTGGAGGCTAAGGCAAGAGAATTGCTTGAACCCAAGAGGCGGAGGTTGCAGTAAGCTGAGATTGCACCACCGCGCTCCAGCCTGGAGACAGCAAGACTCTGTGTTAAAAAAAAAAAGAAAAAAGAAATATATATATATATATAAAGGGGAGTTTATTAAGTATTAACTTACATGATCACAAGGTCCCACAGTAGGCCGTCTGCAAGCTGCAGAGCAAGGAGAGCCAGCCTGAGTCTCAAAGCTGAACTTGGAGTCCGATGTTTGAGGGCAGGAAGCGTCCAGCATGGGAGAAAGATGCAGGCTGGGAGGCGAGGCCCATCGTCTCCTTTTCACGTTTCTCTCCTTTATATTCACTGGCAGCTGATTGGGTTGTGCCCACCAGATGAAGGGTGGCTCTGCCCTCTGCAGCCACTGACTCAAATGTTAATCTCTTTTGGCAACACCCTCACAGACACACCCAGGATCAATACTTTGTGTCCTTCAATCCAATCAAGTTGACAGTATTAACCATCACACCTGGCATGGCGAAGATAAGACCCACTGGGCACAGTCCCTGGAGAAAGGGTGGGGCCCGGCAGACTGGGGGAAAATTGCTCACCTCTGCTGGGGGAGACTGGCTTGACCTAAGCAACGTGTTTTGGGGGCCAGAGCCCACCCAGACCAGGAAGCCCCCTTGACCCTCACCTCTCACTCCTTGACTGTGACCTTGGGCTGGCCCTCAGCTGGAAGCCTCCGTAGCCCTCTGGGCACTGCTGTGATGGGCAGGGTGTGATGGGAGCCTGTGTGTGGGCCCTGGTGTGATGGGTGCGTGCATGGGGCAGGGTGGACGCTGAGCCCACGTGGCACGCCCACGCCCATGCCCACCGTCCTTCACTCTAAACCATTAGCCACAGGTAAAGCAGGCAGGTGCAGAGAGGCCCGGGCGTCACTCAAGGGCACAGGGCAGTGTCTGGCCCAGGCCAGTGTGTCACTGGCTAGGAGGTCCCCTGGAACTCCACAGTCAGTCCCTCAGGTCACAACACTCACCTGTCCTGCTGGCCTGACCCAGGGTCCCCAGAGCAGCCTCCCTAGTGTGTTCCTCTTCTTGGGGTCCCCAACCTGTCCCCATGGTCCCTGCTGCCCATTCTCTCAGGGATTGGCAAGGAGGGACTTCCTCCCAGAGCAGCTGCATGAGAAGGGAACCGGTGGCCTGAGCTGGGGAAGGATGGCAGGGGGCTGGGGTCCTCCGGTTGCGGCACAGGCCCCCATGCAGCCCAGCACCCTGCTGCCCACTCGCCTTTTTGGATTTTTTTTTTTTTTTTTTTTTTTTTTGAGACGGGAGTCTCGCTCTGTCGCCCAGGCTGGAGTGCAGTGGCCGGATCTCAGCTCACTGCAAGCTCCGCCTCCCGGGTTCACGCCATTCTCCTGCCTCAGCCTCCTGAGTAGCTGGGACGACAGGCGCCCGCCACCTCGCCTGGCTAGTTTTTTGTATTTTTTAGTAGAGACGGGGTTTCACCGAGTTAGCCAGGATGGTCTTGAGCTTGTGACTTCATGATCCGTCCGTCTCGGCCTCCCAAAGTGCTGGGATTACAGGCTTGAGCCACCGCGCCCGGCCTTTTTTTTTTTTGAGACAGACTCTCACTCTGTCACCCAGGCTGGAGTGCAGTGATACGATGTTGGCTATCTGCAATCTCCATCTCCCAGGTTCAAGCGATTCTCCTGCCTCAGCCTCCTGAGTAGCTGGGATTACAGGTGCACGCCACCACACCTGGCTAATTGCTGTATTTTTAGTGGAGACGGGGTTTCACTATGTTGGCCAGCTGGTCTCGAACTCCTGACCTCAGGTGATCCACCTGCCTTGGCCTCCCAAAGTGGGATTACAGGCATAAGCCGCCACGCCAGCTTTTTGGCTTTCGTTGGCCCCCGGCCAATTCAGACAGACGGCCTTCAACTTTGTCCAAGCTCCTGCCCCCAGCCATCAGGAGCCCCCTTGCTCCCATAGGCCCCAGGCTGTGGGTGAGCTGCCATGTGGGGACCCCCAGGGACTCTGGAGACCCCAATCCTGGGCTTGGGACCTGGCTCAGCCTTGCCTGGGGTCCCATTACTTCCTTTCCACTTTACCTTCTGCTGTTGCTATCCCTGTCCCAGGGCCCTGGTGGCAGCAAGAGGCAGACTTCACCGTGGTTTCTGGCTTGACTCTGAGCCCTGAGCCCGCCTGAGCCTGCTAACCCTGGCCCGGCAGCCCAGCCCCCTCTGCAGTTCCCACTTGAGAAAGCCCAGCGGGGCACTGATGTGTGTCTTCCAGCCTCAGCTACCTCCCCACTTGGTGCCCTGCCCACACCTGGTGACCTCCTGAGCACAGATACCCAAGGGTGACATGCCCAGACCCCGGCAGAGAACCTGGGGTGGCACTCATCTATGCGGAGATGCCCCCAACCCAGCAAGATGCTGGGGCAGGACCATGCTTGGCCCAGAATGTGGGGCATGTGATCCCCGAGCCGACACCCTAGGAAGCGAGGACCTCCCCAGCTTCTGGCTCTGGGAGGCTGGGTGGGCCGGCCCCAGGTGCAGAGTCCCTGGCTGCAGCCCTCCCCTACAGCCACACAACACAGAGGAGCGGGTCAGGGCAAAACTTGGGGTGCAGAGTGGGTCCCTGGAGGACCAGAGCCCCACCCAGCAGCTCCACCTGGGGGAGAACAAGGACACAGACGTGATCCCCCCAACGTCCTGGGGCTCGATGGGACGAAAGTGGGAGGGGAGGTGCTGGGCTCACCCGCTGCACCACCCCGTGCTGCTCCTCGACCAGTCCCTCCACTTGGGGGTCCCCTTGGCCACCTGCCAGGCTCCGTGCACCCACCTACCTTTCCAAAGGCGGGGTCAGAGGGTGTCTCCAGCCCCCGGTTCTACCTTGTTACTGAGGATGAAGGGCCGGCTCCCTTCTCGCCGGGGCCATGTAGCTTTGCAGCACACCACCAGGGGGCGCTCGAGACACGCATCTGGACTGCCTCGCTCAAGCCAACCCGGTGAAGCAGGTGAGGGATCAGGGAGACAGCCAGGCTCAGTCCGCTCTCTGAGGCGCCCCTCGGGCTGAGGCTGGGTGCCCCTCACCTTGCTGCTGCCCTAGGTGCCGCTGTCTGCGGGGGGCACTGGCCAGTGGTCTGCTCTTGGTCTGGAGTGGGGCCCACTGGGTTGAGGCCTCTTCCGTGGTCATCCACTGGGAAGCTGGCCCACAGTGAAGGCTCAGCTGGGAAGAGCTTGTGTCCTGATCATCACGATGCCCACAGACCACGGAGCTGGGGTTGGCTGCCTGCCTGGGTCCACACAAACCCAGGGAGTCAGGAGGCCTGGGTGGGGTGAGATGAGGAGGAGCCCCTACCCCCCCAACTTTCTCTTTGACTCATGCCCTTTTCTTTCCTCTGAGAGGCTTTCGTTCTGACCCATTTCTGGGCAAAACCCCCGAGCCCCGTTTGCCAGCTCGCAGGTTCTCACGCACAGCTGGGCCCCATGGCAGCCACCCGGCCCAGGGTCCTCAAGGAGGAGCAAGCTAGGGGCAGAGGGTGGGGGAGGCTCCTGCAAATCCACCCAGGAAGGGAGCAGACTGGCTGCGGCTGAGGTCGGTGGCGAGGGACCCTGCCAGCCTGGCAGCACAAACAGGAAGGATGGCGGGCTCTGGCAGCCAGAGGCCGGGTCACCCGCAGGTGTGGCAGGACAGCCTCCTTCCTGCAGGAGCTGCCACCGGGTGCCCGTTGCAGGGAGAAGAGGTGGGGTGGCGTGAGGCTGAAGCCAAGGTGTGGCTCCCCGGGGGCTCCCTGCCAGAAAAGTATGCTGGGGTGGGATTAAAGGCCCAGGTGCCACTGTGGTCATCACCCAAAACATGGGGGGTTGGAAGGGAGGGGCGGGAGGCGGCTGCCCACTCTGGTGCCAGCCCCTAAACCAAGCAGCTCAGGTGCTGACAGTTTCCCATGACACCCACAGGAACCCCTCCCTTCAAGCCCCCCTCCCTCCAAGCTCCCCTCCCTCCAGCCCCCTCCCTTCAAGCCCCCCACCCTTCAAGCCCCCTCCCTCCAGCCCCCCCAACCTCCCTCCCTGAAAGTCCCCCTCTCTCCAAGCCCCCCTCCCTCCAAGCCCCCTCCCTCCAGCCCCCCTCCCTCCAAACCCCCTTCCTCCAGCCCCCCTCCCTCCAGCCTCCCTCCCTTCAATCCCTCCTGCCTCCAAAGCCCCTCCCTCCAGCTCACCTCCCTCCAGCCCCCCCTTCAAGCCCCCTCCCTCCAAGTTCCTCCCTCCAGCCCCCCTCCTTCCAGCCCCCTCCCTCCAAGGCCCCCTCCCTCCAAACCCCCTTCCTCCAGTCCCCCTCCCTCCAGCCCCCCTCCCTCCAGCCTTCCTCCCTCTAGCCGTTGCACAAGTTCCGCAGCACAGCTCAGCTCGGAGGCTACACTGGGCCACAGGGGTGGGGGCCTCTGACTACCACCCTGTCCCAGTCTTGCCTCTGTCCCCACAGTGGGATCCTCCCACTTCAGTCTCCAGCTGCCTGGTTCCCCTCCCAAGGCAGCCTCGTACTCACTGTGGGGCCGGGGAGAGGCCAGCAGCCCCTGGGGCCCTAGAGTACAACAGGACAGGGACGGGGTGGTGGGAGGCAGGCCCCTCGGAGGGGTAAAGGCCTGGACAACAGTTCATGGTTGCCATTCCTCCCAGGACACACGATCTGAGCCCTCAAAGGACCTGACAGGACAGACGTGTCCTCATTCCTGGAATCCCAGCGTTCTGGGAGGCCGAGGTGGGAGGATTGCTTGAGCCCAGGAGTTTGAAACCAGCCTGGACAACATAGCAAGACTCTGTCTCTACAAAAAATTTTAAAAAATTAACCAGGCATGGTGATGCACACCCATAGACCCAGCTACTTGGGAGGCTGAGGTGGGAGCATTGCTTGAACCCAGGAGATTGAGGCAGCAGTGAACCGTGACTGCACCACTGCACTCCAGTCTGGGCAACAGAGCAAGACCCTGTCTCAAAAAAAAACAAAAACCAAGAAACAAAACCCACACACAAAAAAGCAAACTTGGCTGGGCACGTTGGCTCACGCCTGGAATCCAAGCACTTTGGGAGGCCGAGGCTTGTGGATCATCTGAAGTCAGGAGTTCAAGACCAGCCTGGCCAACATGGGAAAACCCCATCGCTACTAAAAATACAAAAATTAGCTGGGCGTGGTGGCGGCGCCTGTAATCTCAGCTACTCGGGAGGCTGAGACAGGAGAATCGCTTGGACCCGGGAGGTGGAGGTTGCAGTGAGCCGAGATCACATCACTTGATCCTGACTCCCAAAGGGCTGGGATTGCAGCTTGGGCGATAGTGCAAGACTCCTTCTCAGAAAACAAACAAACAAACAAACAAACAAACAAACCAAGCCTGACCTGCACTGAGATCTCCAGGACATCACATTGGGCATGAGGGCTGGGTCTGTCCGTGCCTGGGACCACCCAAGGTCCTTTGCAGCAGAGCGGCCATCTGGTTGGGGTGAAGCTGATGGAGCCTGCCACTGTGGCTGAGAGCGGGGTGTTGGCTGGGGGTCAGGGTGACCCTGCAGGGCCATCCCAGCCTGGCTGACGCCCAACATGGGCTGGTGTAGAAGGAACCTGGCCCCGAGGCTCCAGGCCCTGGCTAGAGGAAGCAGGGACTCTTCAAGCTGGGTCCTGTCCTCTTCCTGGAGCGGGTGCCAGCCCCCAGCCTGCTTGCGTCAGGGACAAAAGGACTCCTTTCCTTTCCAGCCTGGAAAGCCCCTCTGCTGCAGCCTGGAGGAAGGGACCCCGGGCCTAGCCTATAGTCAGAGGCGTCTATGGGCATGGATCTGGACAGGGAAAGGAGAAAGCAGCCTCCATCCACAGTTCACTCTGGGACCAGGCCCTTGCAGGCACGCGCTGGGCTCCTGTGAGAAGGCTAAGGGCCCCAGGACAGACCTCCTCTCCGGGCGTCTGGGTTCCTAGATGGCAGAGGTGGCAGAGTGGGGTGGGGTGGCCCAATTGGGAGCCGTAGCCTCTGGCGAAGAGCTGAGCACAGCACATCTGCAATGTGTAAGATTCTCCTGGGAGACCAGGGCCCAGCTGGTGGTGAGCTGGGGGAAGTGGGTGATCCTGCGGTGGGAGGAGCCATCTGGCCCTCTGGGGAAGTGTGCTCGCTGTCTGCAGAGCCCAGGCCTGGGTAGCTGGGTGGGGGCTGGGGGGCCATCTCCGCTCAGGGTGCCCGCACCTGGGCCTTCCCTGCCCTAGGCCAAGCCTGCCTGTGCCTCCCCATCCTCTGCCTGCCCAGCTGGACATCTCTGGGCCTCTCTGGAGACCAGTGGGGTGGGCTGGGGGGGCGTCGTATTGGCCTGGCTTGGCACCCCTCTTGTGGCTGTACCCCTCCCAGCAGCCCCAGGACTAGCAAGTCCCCGAGATGGGGGTGGGGACAGTGGTTGATGCCAAAGGTTGTGGGGGCAGGGGCGGGGCAGGAGCAGGAAGGTCCCCTGAGTTCCCTCACCTTGGGCAGAGATAAAAGGAGCACAGTTCCAGGCGGGGCTGAGCCAGGGCGCAGCTGTGATTTCAGGGCATCTCTGGCGGCTGCTGTGATTTGAGAATCTCGGGTGTCTTAGCTGACTGATTCTGGGAGACCGTGGATGAATAATGCTGGTGAGTGTCTGGCCCTGGGGAAAGCCCGGGCTGGGGAGAGCTAGGCAGTCTGGGAGGGGAGGATGGGGGTGACGCTGAGTGGGGCGGTTGGGTGTCCCTGAGCCCAAGTGACAGAGCCTCCCCTCCCTTGTGCTGCTGCAGGGCACGGCCCCACCCGGAGGCTGCGGGGCTTGGGGGGCCTGGCCGGGGTGGCTCTGCTCGCTGCCTTCTGGCTCCTGTGGCTGCTGGGGTCAGCCCCTCGGGGTACCCCGGCACCCCAGCCCACAATCACCATCCTTGTCTGGCACTGGCCCTTCACTGACCAGCCCCCAGAGCTGCCGGGCGACACCTGCACCCGCTACGGCATCACCCGCTGCCACCTGAGTGCCAACCGAAGCCTGCTGGCCAGCGCCGACGCCGTGGTCTTCCACCACCGCGAGCTGCAGACCCGGCGGTCCCACCTGCCCCTGGCCCAGCGGCCACAAGGACAGCCCTGGGTGTGGGCCTCCATGGAGTCACCTAGCCACACCCACGGCCTCAGCCGCCTCCGAGGCATCTTCAACTGGGTGCTGAGCTACCGGCGTGACTCGGACATCTTTGTGCCCTATGGCCGCCTGGAGCCCCACTCGGGGCCCTTGCCACCACTGCCAACCAAGAGCAGGGTGGCCGCCTGGGTGGTCAGCAACTTCCAGGAGCGGCAGCTGCGTGCCAGGCTGTACCGGCAGCTGGCGCCTCACCTGCGGGTGGACGTCTTTGGCCGTGCCAATGGACGGCCGCTGTGCACCAGCTGCCTGGTGCCCACCGTGGCCCGGTACCGCTTCTACCTGTCCTTTGAGAACTCTCAGCACCGTGACTACATTACAGAGAAATTCTGGCGCAACGCACTTGTGGCTGGCACTGTGCCGGTGGTGCTGGGGCCCCCACGGGCCACCTACGAGGCCTTCGCACCAGCCGACGCCTTCATACATGTGGATGACTTTGGCTCAGCCCAAGAGCTGGCGGCTTTCCTCACCGGCATGAATGAGAGCCGATACCGACGCTTCTTTGCCTGGCGTGACAGGCTGCGCGTGCGACTCTTCACCGACTGGCGGGAGCGCTTCTGTGCCATCTGTGACCGCTACCCGCACCTGCCCCGCAACCAGGTCTATGAGGACCTTGAGGGATGGTTTCAGGCCTGAGCTCTGCTGGCCGGGGGAGGTGGGTGTGGGTGGAAGGGCTGGGTGTCGAAATCAAACCACCAGGCATCCGGCCCTTACTGGCAAGCAGCGGGCTAACAGGAGGCTGGGGACAGAGGTCAGGAAGCAGGGGTGGGGGGTGCAGGTAGGCACTGGAGCAGGCAGAGGAGGTGAGGGCGGGAGGGAGGTAACGGGTGCCCACTGCGGCAGACGGGAGGGGAAAGGCTGAGGAGGACCCTCTCCACCCTGAACAGATCTTGGGTGGGTCAAGGCCTCGCTGGAAGAGGGTAAAAGGCAGGGCCCTTGGGGCTGGGGACACCCCAGGCTGCAGTTTGTGGGGGCCAAACCTGGGACCCCAAACTTCCTCTGTAGCAGAGGCACGGGTCCCTGGCACATCCACAGTTCTGAGGTCCCTGCAGTAGGCTGGGGCGGGGCCCAGGAGACCACGGGGAGCAAACCAGCTTGTTCTGGGTTTAGGGAGGGAGGGCGGTGGACAATAAAGGTCTGACCAGTGCCTCGTGGGTCACCTCCGTGCAGGGCCACAGAACCTGTGTCTGCCCTCCCTGACATGTCGCCCCCACAGCCATGGGGCTGCTTGTTCCCCACCGGGGATCCTGTCTCCTGACCTCGGGGCTTTTGCTCACCCTCCATCTGAGAGCTCTCCCTGTGCCGGGCTGCCCACTGGCTCCTCCAGTTCCTACAGCCTCCACCAAACGGCCCCTTAACAGAGAGCCTTCCGTGGCCCCCAAAAGGCCAAGGCGATGAGCCCAAGAATTCAAGACCAGCCTGGGCAGTGTAGTGAAACCTCATCTCTACCCAAAATACAAGAATTAGCAGGACGTGGTGGGTCACGCCTGTGGTCCCACCTACTTGGGATACTGAGGTGAGAGGATGGCTTGAGCCCAGGAGGTTGAAGCTTCAGTGAACCGGGATCACACCATGGCACTCCAGCCTGGGCAACAGAATGAGATCCTGTCTCAAAACAAAAACCAGAAACAGGCCAAGGTTGGGGAAGGGTAGGGAACAGACTTCAGAGGACTGGCCAGCCTGAAAGCGTCCATCTCCCAGGTCCGCAGGCTGGAGAATGTCTTGGGTGACAGGGTCTGACCTGTGCCCTGGAGCTCCCTCTGGTGGCAAGTGCTGGGGAGGCACTGGGGATGCGGCTGCAGCCAGGGAGCCCCTGTAGTGGCCGGTGGGGAGTGGGGCGAGGAGGAGGGAGGCCAACCCACGGGTGGTGCTGACCAGGGACTCAACAGGCCAAGCCCCCGGGGCCGGGGCACTGGGCTTGTCCCTACCCCAGGTCGGGGTGGGCAGGTTGAGGGCAGGAAGCCCCCCTCACCCATGGCTGTGGCTTGTGGGAAACACCTGCTAGTAGCTTCCTGCCCTGACCTAGCCCTGTGGACTAAGCAGGGAAAAGCAAGTGTCCTGAGGCTGCGGGCTGGGGTGGGAGGCTGATCCTCATCCACCAGCCCAGGGTCACCTTCCTGCTGCAAAGGAGCTGGAAGTGGGGAGCTGTGGCCCCAGAGGTCTTTCACTTGAGGGTGAGCCTTCTATGTGCGCCCAGACACTGGACACCACACAGCCCTACTTCACCCCATTCACAGGTAGGGAAACTGAGGCTGGGAGGCGCCGTCAGAGCCACCCATGGGGCCAGCCTGCCCTCTGTCGCCCTCTGCAGGCCACGCGGAGGAACTGCCCCACCTCCCCGGGGCGCCCCGGCAGGTGCCAAGCTACAGCCGCAGAACCGCCTGACCCCGAACTCTCGGTGCAGAGAACAGACTTGCCCGGATACGAGGTGAAAAATGAGCCGCGTGCAGCAGGGGCAGTCTCGGTCCCCTGCCTGCTCCGCCCACGGCGAGCGT